CTAATTAAATACATTGAAGCTGTTGGCTACATGTGCACCCAGCTTGCTTTGACCGTACCTGGCTGTCTGTTGTCCCACTGCGGGGCCACGTAGTCTGGAGGCGGCAGGTTCTCCTCCTGCTGCACAGGACTGAACCTTTCCCGCCGGAAACCGGTTGTACTCTGCCGACTGAAGGTATTCCCAGCATTATTTTCTAAACGTCAAATCTCTCCAGCTTCTCGTAAATGTGACGTTTGCTCAGTCGCGTACCTGATGTCAGGCGTCATTCTGCGTGGCTCCATATCGCTGCCTCCTCTCTGTATTGCCTTGTCCAGATCAGCCTTAATGATCTCTGCCTGATAAAACAACGAGACCTGCCGTTAATCACGCCCTGTACGGGGTAGCAGTTTCACATATTTCCTTCTTCTGGAAGCGTCCTGGGTTCTCGTGAGAGGTAAAGCTCACCCCCGTCTCCTCACACTGGAACATGAAGACCTGAGATCCGCGCCTGCGCCCTTCCTGCACGGTTACCACCAGCAGAGAGTTGTAGGCGCAGCTTTCCAGCACTGCGCGGGTCTTCACGATGCTCCTCAGAGGTATTGAATCCAGCTCCGCCTGTAAGGTCAGAAGGAGTCGCTACAAGTTAATCAACAAACTCATAAAGCCATCTTATTCTGCTTATTGAAGCAGATTCAGGCATACTGGATAGATTACAGGAGCAAGTGAACAAAACCAAGTGGCTTTTTGCTCAGGGTGACTATAGACGAACTCCAGAAGAGCCCAAAACAGGAATCAGATTGTTACACTGAAAGCATTTCCTTTTGTTTTAATTGCATATCATGAACTTCAGATTGTTTGAAAATAGCCTCATGATCGCATGCAGATGGGAGGCAACAGTTGGTTTTCTAAAGTCGTTGCTGGTTTATTTTCCCAGAAACTCACAAAAGTTCTGCTTTTCTAGAGATTGGTCAAACTTGGTGTTTATAAGTTAATCAGATGTTTTGGATTAGCAGCACCAGATTATCTGAACAGAACCCAGCCTGTGTCAGTGCTCACCATCAATATACAGCAGAGACTTGATCTGAACTGATTTTCAAATAGGCCTGTCACAATAAACAATAAATCAATTAATCGCATGATAAATTAAAGGAAACTCAGTCATTTTCATTTGCTTGATTTATCGTTTTTTCTCTTTTCTTTTTCTTTTTACCAAAAACTGAATGATAAAAAATCTTCAGCGTGGTGCTTTAGTCGCAACTATCCCTTTTTTTGAAAGATCATTTTGTTTACACAAACTTCATAAATCATTTTATTTGTTGTTTTCTGTATTTATTTTTGGATATTTAAAATGTCTTCCAGGTCCAGTGTTTAAATGTTCAGTAAATTTAAATTTATTTATCTTTGAAAGTGTGTTTTTGCCATTAATATCCCATTATTACTATTACATTACTTGGAAATGGTCTTAAAACAACAATATTATCGTTTATCGTTCTGGGACAATTTATCATCCTGCAAAATTTGTTATTGTGACCGGCCTATTTTCACAGCTAATAACTGTGGATTTCCTGTATATTCCTCATGTTACATCTTTTTACCTCGAATACATTCACCTAATTATTTCATTTCTGTTTGCCAAGTTATTCAGGTCATTATTTAGACAATCAACACCAACCTTGGTCTCAATGTCACAGAGCACGACGTAGGCTCCCTTTATCTCTAAGATCATCTCCTGGGGCCACAGACGACTTTTGCCGTCCAGCTCCTTGAGTTTGGTCACACAGTCGTCCTCTGTCTTCAGCTCCTGGCTGTCCAGCTCACAGATTAACAGATGCTGTGGGAGGAGCGGGTTTGTGAAGAGAAGTTGAAACTAAATTCAAAACAATAAGTGTATCGTCACGCAAGAGCAGATTTCCTACCTCCACTCTGACTTGAAAGCTGTCAGGGTTTTTGTGGAGCGTCTCTGCATACTCTTTTCTCTGCACTGATGAAAAAAACAAACATATTTTTTTTCCTCAAGAAACATAAATATACCTAATTAAGGAGGTGCGATTTGTTGTCTGGACATACTGTAGATGGATCTTCCACTGGGTCTGGACATGCTGTGTCTCTGCAGCAGGGATTCTTTGGGCTCATCTTGGTGAAACGCTCGCCTCTGAGGGAAGTCCTCCTGAGAGAAACCCCTGAAGAAGGAGAAGAAGAAGGAGAAGAAGAAGAAGAAGAAGAAGAAGAAGAAGAAGAAGAAGAAGAAGAAGAAGAAGAAGAAGAAGACATGGTGTTCAACTGGACAGTTTCAAAACATACAAAGAGGCATTGATAGTCTCTTTACATTTTACTTCCAAGGAGCCAGACCTTTTTTTCTACAAAGTTGTTTTTATCAAAGGTTTCATCAATTTGTTTTGACTTTTATTTTTATTTTTATTTTTTTACTCATTCTCTGCCCAATTATTGTACGTGTTAATTGTGCCACTGTGAAGGCTGAAGAGAGTACAAAGGTTAAAGAGAGACATGTTTCCAGGACGGATACACTAAGCACACCCAGTGAGCAATGTCTCAAGGCCATATCTTTAGAAAATTCTTTAAAAATCCAGCAAACAGGCACACAAGTTTTAGCGAAAGTTTTTCAAGCAGTGGTTCTTCAAAAGTTAACATTGGTGACGCTAAAACACAGCTAACACTACAGCATCTCTGGTGTTTTTCATTGACTCAGCTGGAAATAATGAGGAAAATACATTTCCTTGAGATAGACTGCAAGTCAGAACAACCCAACAACACTGGTTTGTTTATAAAGCCCAGGAGCCGTTTTACATCTGAAAAACTCCAACTTTCATCAAGCCTGAGTTAATATTGACTGCGGAAGTCTGGCTTCTGGGAAAGAAAGCATGAATAAATGCGAGTTGACTGTGTTATCAGCGAGGGTGAGACTTTTTAAGAGTTGGAGAGCTTTTAAAATCCCAGTCAAACATGGCTGCTTGTTAAACATACCTCGGGGAGTAGGAGAAAGGTCGGCCGTTTCCAAGCATTGTGGATCTACTGAGGTCCACACTTCTGGGCGGAGGGGATAATCTGGAATTTACCCCAACCAGCGTAAAAAAGGACGTCTGTCAAGGCAACAACAAACAAATCAGGCCTTGTCCGGCTCCAGATAACCATCTTCTAACTGGTCACCTGTTTTCCTATGTGGACAGGCGGATAGTTTTATCTCAAATCCACTTCATTTAGCAAATGACCCTCAGGGTTCAGTATTCGGGCCCCTTATAGCTATCCTCTGTGTCAGTATTATTGGCTGTCACGTCATATTTGTATAGTTTTACATTTTTACACTGATGTTACAGTTTTATAAAGCTCAACATCCACAGTCAGCCTAAGTTTCACTTAGCTGCAAATGGCTTTTTACACTGTACAACCAACTGTTTAAGCCCTACGCTGAGTTTTAAGATAGTTTTTAAGCTTTGGAGATTAATCTAGTCTCTTTCTGACTGTCTGGCTTTTCTTTCGTTTACATCTCGTACTTAAATGCTGTTGAAAAAGCTCAATCTGAGCTTTGGGTTATTCTTTTAGCTGACCTGAAAATGAAAGCTGCGGACTGTGGCAAGAAATTTAAAAGACTTCTTAATGACTTTCACCAGTTGAAAAAGTTCAATATAAATGTTTTTATGTCATTCAACTGTACAGAAAGAAGCTGGTCATACAAACACTACTCATTTTGCACTATTGTCTATGCCTATCTTCTTGTAGCCTTTTGACCCGTTTGAGGCGATTCTTCGTAGCCATTTTATCCTTTGTTGCAACTAGTTTTACCGTTTTTACAGAGCTATGGGTATCTTTGTCGATTGTTTAAGTTTCAAAAGGTTTTATTTCAAAGCTATTTCTATAAATTCACACTAAGCAATGATTTAAAACAAAAGGACCTTTATAGTTGGCTTACCCAGTTAACTTCAGCAATTGTTTTCCGTTTCTGATCTGACCAGAGCAGATTAACATTTCTTACAAATTTAATAATGCTGCTTTAGTTTCAATAAGGATCTTCAGGGAATTTTAATCGCCAATGTGAGCCTCTTCAGCAAAGAACTCAAAAGTGTTAGCTTTCTACAACCGAGCATTGATTATTATCTAAAACTGTCCTTGGTAACCTAAAAGAAGGCATGAAAATGAGATTCAGAGATTGTTGGCACTAACAGGGCAATGCTGAGTTAATCAGTTACAGAACCTGTGATAAATTCAGGGTTAAAATTAACAAAAAACTGAATAATAATCAAACTGTTCTCTAGATTTTTCCTCATGGCTGAAAGAACAGCGGTGCATCAGCTTTGTGATTTTGGCCATTGTGTTCACTTCTGATTTACGCTTCAAGATGTTCATTTAAAGCTTTTTAGCTGATCATGTTTGACCAAAAAACCTAAACTTCCGCTCTGTATTTCAGCCCCAAATTTAACACATACCTCCTGGATTTTATGCAAGACACAAAGTAAGTTTCACTACTAACAGAAAGCCACTTTCTGTAAAAGCAAGCACATTTTCAATCTTAAAAAGAGGAACCAAAGCTGTCACCAGTAAAGGCTTATTTGTCCAACCTCTCCTCGTATAAAGCCCAGCAGATCGTTCAGGACTCGCCTCCGCGTATCAGCTCCGCTCCAGAGTCATCGCTCCGGTCAAAATTAACTTCCCTCCGACTCGTCTGATGGCAGAAAACATCTGATACTCAAGACCATCGCCTAGAAAACGTCCTGGACTTCCGCCTGTAAGCTTAAGGGTCAAAGTGCAACGTTCTTTCAGAAGTGACGGATCGAGAGAGGCGGCCTGATTTGCCACCTTAAGGACAGAAACGCTGTGATTCATTATGACTCCAAAGGGTAGGTGCAGCTTTATATAGCCTTCTTCAGACTTATCTAAGGTCTCAAGGATTGCTCTGCATTTATGCAACAAAGCAGCTCCAGAAGGTTCCTTTATGTCTGAATAGGTAATATAGCAAACAAATAAATGTTTGATCATAATATTGGACAGAACAAAAACCGAGCACACACTTTAGGTTGAATAAGAGAACCATTTATTTTACCGTCTGATGACGTGTAAATACTGTACACACCCATAATGTTGACATAGACAACTGTTGAAGAGAAATAGTTCACTTTGTAAAATAAACATAACGCCTCGTCTAGAAGCTTTGAGCCGAGGGTCCGATTAGGCTTCATCAGGGAGGATTACGCCGCGGCTTTGGCCTGGGTGGTCTTAGCCAGCACTTTGAGATCTGCAATGCACTTGGCAATGCTCTCCTTCTCCTGGAAAAGGAAGAAAATAAAAGATAAGGACACGAAATATAAAAAACAATTTCCCCAGGCAACCTTCCCAAACAAACACACTACTTCAGTCTTTTCCTCATTGTCCTGTAATAAACTTTAACATGCAGACCTTGAGATATACCAGGGTTTTATAAATAACAGGTTCCTAAAAATCTTACTTTTTTTAAGTTATTTTCCAGACTTCATGATTTCTTATTCAGCAGTTTGTACAACATTCAGGACACTTGAGAAGAACATTTACCCTGTTCCGTTTAATGATCTGCATGTTCAACAAACTGTAACAAAATGCTGAAGCTGGTTGTCTATTCTCAGAACAAAAGTTTCCTGGACTAAATGCAGATTATGTGAGGAAAAGTTTGTATTTGGTTAACCTATAGATTATAAAATCTAAAGAAAAAATCATTTCACTGGCTTCAGATATTAAATTTCATATCTCTGTATTTTTATAAAATACTTTGGGGTCAATATTGTAAATATCCTGGGTTGACTTCCTGGTAAATAACTCAAAAAATAAAATAAAAAATTCAGTGAGTTGGACAAAAAATGTAAGTTATTATGCAGGAAGTTTAAGATTAAAAGAACATAATCTAAATATGATAACCCACTTTACTGTCGTGAAATCACATTTTTATCAATTAGTTAATAAAATGAGTAATAAAATGTGGGACACTTTAATGTTTTGCCATAAAAATCTCTCACCTAAAGTTCAAAATCAATGAAACATCGTCTAATTGATCATCCTATCAGTGATGCAAAACTTGGCAAACTGGTAATTCTTAAATATCTCACACAAATTAATCATTGCTTAAATGATCAGAAAAACATTTGTGTATCACTCTCTGAGTTCCTATTGAGGCAGCAACATAAATATCAGTGTAAAATCTGTTTTTGATAAATAACCAAATAAAATCAACATGAACAATTTGTAGCATTTCAAAAACAAACATGTAAATATTTACTCAAAACAAAAAAAAAAAACAAAAAAAAGAACACAGCTGATTATGTTTTAATCCCATTATCTTGTAACAAAGTCAATACTTTAAATAAATGACACAAGAACAGCTCAGCCATAAAGAGGCACTTATCTTTATTGCTCTAAATAATTTTCCGGCCATAAGTGGGGCTTCTCTGCACAACAGCAAAGCTCCAAGATCTCATTAAGCTTCGGCTTTTCCATCAACAAAAAAAAAAAAAAAAAGGGAAGGACTGACCTGCTGAGGAGTGATGCTGCTGATGACGTTCTTCTCCACCCAGTTGATCATATGTTCCTGCTGCAGGCGGCGGTTCAGGTGCTGAAGGGCAATCTGATAGTCCAGGCGCCTCTTTACCTCGTTGGTCACCATGTGTTGCCTCTCCCTGTAGTTGGTCTCCAACAGCATGGCCACGTTGTTCTGCAGCAGAAGAGGAGCAACAAAAGGCCAATATGTTGGGTCAGAACTTGGGTCACCGTGATGCAGAAATGTGACCTCACCATCTAGATGCAGCTTATGAATTGTTCATTTAATACACATACACATGCTTGAGTAAAAAAAAAAAAAATTTAAATTCAGAGCTCCTAAAACTACTGCACATTAACTTCTTTGGTCAGGCACATTAAAAATGTTGCTGCAGTTTTTATTTGTAACCAGAAGAGGTCAGTAAAATCTCCTTTTAATTCCTACAGCTCTCATTGAATCGTAATACTATGGAGAAACATTTTATTCAAAATTAAATAAACACCGTTATCAATTAATAGTACATGTCCCCATGAAATAAGATCATAATAACTATTCCAAAAAAAAATAGATACTTTTAATGGGGAGCTTATTTTGTCTCAAGGTTTTAGTTATGTCCAGACTTTTTTTTTTTTTTTACTTATTTCAGGATTACTTAATGCATTTCATTTATTTCATAATGGTGTTTTATTCTGTGACATTTATTTTTTCAGCTACTTTACATTTTGTTTAGATGGCAATATGGAGGACACTGGAGAGCTCCAGGATGATTTGCTTTTCTCCCTGGGAGAATTTGTTTCCCCTGCGCTGCAGGCCTCGTTTCCCTTGTAAGCAGAGGATGTCTGCTGTTCATGTGCTCTTATTTTGAAACGTACACAACTCCTGAGGTCGCCATCGCTGCGACTGGGTTGATTTGAGCAAGTTAAGAAGAACATTTGATTAAACGGAGATGAGTTCTCCTGACAAAAAGTTATCCCACCTCTTTCATTGGCCTGTTATATCAGTTCAAGCTCTAATATCTCACGCAGACGAGCCCCACAAAGAAAACTGGGCCTCCTCATTTAAATAAAACACCTTCATGAAACAATGAAATATATAAATCTTGAATAAATAAAACTGAGTGACAAAATAAACACCCTATTAAAAAGTTGCTTCTATTTTAGATTTTTTTTTTGTTTTGTTTCATGGAGACATTTGTTGATGGATTAATTATTTAACGATATTTGGGTATTTAATTTGTAATTAATTTCCATAAAATACGAGTGCGACAGTAGCTGCTCTTCCATTAACCATAAAACTTGGCAAATTAGAATTACGAAAACAAATCTGCTGAATGAAAACAGCAATATGGGGAAAAAAAACAAAAGCGTTTTCAATAACGTTTTTTGCACCTAGTGGTTTTTCAGCCATATCAAAATATGTACATTTCACTAAACTGCAGTGAAAGCATTTTTCCTGAATCACGCGAGTCATGTGATCACCAGCCAGACGTTACTACTGCTGGAAAAAAAAAACAAAGAAGACAGGAAGTGGTCTTCTTTTAGGAGGAGGATGGCATGGCATGTTTTTTTTAAAGAGTAAACAAACGTATTCACATTATTTAATGGAAATGCCACAATTAGGAAACTGTGTTTTTCAAACTTTAGTGGAAGAAGGACAACCTTTTGCTCACATTTGCAATGGAAACACAGCTAATGTCGTGAACCACAGGTGTTTACCCTCTTGGCGTCGAACAGCATCCCCCGTCCCTCAACTCTCCACTGTTCCTTCTTCTCATTCTCAATCGCCTCAGTCAGGAAGGATATGTGGGAGTCCTTCGCCACCTGGGCCTTGGCCACTTTTTCCTGAGAGAAGAAAGATCAGAGAAATGATTTTCAAGTTTGACAGAGAAGAACATTAAGAACATTGTGAACCGATAGCAGTTTTCTGATTACTGATCTTTTAAAAAAGTCTAGCTTACCGATTCCGATTTTGGCCGGTACCATTTTTTTTGTCTGAAATGTTGCTCAATATATCAAGAAAGTTGCTGAACTGGCAACAATGGGGTGACTATTGTTAACTGTAAATGTGCAGATATGACCTGGTTGGCCGGTTTGCCAGTCAAACTTCTCTCACGGGAGAAAAGAAAAGCACAGTGGTTGATTTTTAGACCTTTGCAAAGGTTGAAAATATCGGTGGATAAAATCGGCTTCACATATTAAAATTGGCCGATCACCGATCTCCCAAAATTAAGAAAATCAGTACCGATAAATTGGTGCACCTCCATTGTGAACTAAAGGTCTGACAGAACATACTAAAACAAAGCTGCTATGGGGAAAAAAACTGAACAGTTGGGGTCAAAGTCTTTAACAACTGGACCAAATACATTGCTAATAATACAACCCATCACCAACCAGTATATTCTCAGTCGATATAATCTCTGTACAGAAAATACTTTAGTGTGCTTTAAAAGAAAAACCTGATTCGGAAGTCAATGAAATCATAAAAAGAAACTCTCTGAAACAACAACGGCACCAAACCCCCTCGACTGTAACTTATTGCATTATTGTAAATACAACCTGACATCAGTTTGCATCAGTATTACAAACACATATGGAATTACTTATTTGCAAAAAGTCAAATATGTAGGCACCTCATTTATACTGTCAATAAAAGCTGCAACAGTTGCACCATATTTCTTGACACCATAGACGATGATTGTGCCAATGCAGATGGCGTATATGGTCTCATGGTTGATGACGTAGAGTTCTTTGGAAAGCAAGTAGACGATAAGCCCAGTGCCTAGCATGTATGGTCCTGGAGAAAGACAAAAATACGTTTAACAAGTTAAACTAGTAGAACATCCAAGCTGCAGTTTTTGTGAAATAGTTTAGAAATTACTTTTTCTTCTTCACTGTATCCTTTTACAAGAGAAGGCAATGAAGTGACTTTAGAAAAGTTCAGATTGCGTAGCAACACCACTCACCTGTGACTCCGGTTTTTGGATATAGGAACTCGAAAAGCTCCTCTGGGATGAGGCCATGGCGGACTTTGCCTCCGTGCTCTGGCAAAGGAGGTACGGGGGCCAATCTCTGGGAGGATGTTTGGAGGGAGCGAGACGCCTGAACCAGACTGAGAGAGACAAAAGGATCAGTAACTTTAACAGATATTGCCTGCTTCATACTTATTGCAGCTACTGTATAACCTGTTTGTAACAGATCATCAGGTTATAAGATCCAAAAGCGTCTGTATTTTATTTTGCATGGCCAACAATTGGTGACAATTATCAACAACTTAACACCAGTTTCAGCATCCAACAGTGGAGCTGTGGCATTAGGTTGTTGCACATCAAAATTGCAACTAAAAAGCCATTTTAGAATAACCAATAAAACAAAAGTGAGACAAGAGAGCACAATTTAGAAACTGGAAGACAAGGTGCTGTTGACAGAACTCCAAGATTCAGATACTGAGATCAAACTGAAGCTCATTGGTGGAAGCAGCTTGACCACAAAATACAGAGTAACACTCCATCAAATGAATTAATTTAGTCAGGAACGCTCCAGGAAACATGGGGTGAAATTTCTTCAGACTTACTTTGAAAAATTCATAGAATGAAGTCTGTTTGATTGTAATTGCTACTATTTTTTTAATCACCATATACATTCAAATCCAAATCTCTGTTTCTAGGATAATTGTTGAGGCAACACATAAAAGGTAAATATAAGTATTAAAAGATACAAACCCAGCTCCAATGAGGCCGCTGCTTCTCAGAGAGTTTGCTGCAAATAGAGGGACAAGGCGACTTAGAGCAACATCAGAACTAATGCCAACAGTGGTTTTACCCAAACAAAGACAATGCCGGTGTAAAATGTCATTAAATGGCATGATCACACAAAGGGAAGCCACTTGTAGTTTGTTTTTGTTTTTTTGTTTGTTTGTTTTTTGTTTTTGTTTTTTTGCACAACATACAACAGTGCAAGAAAAATATCTGATGAATTTCAAATGAAAAGGTTGTGAACAAATAGAAATAAGCTTTAAAGTCTGGAATGCTTAAACTAGAGACGTTAATAACATGACATTAGCAGACGTGCAGTTACCGTTAGCTAATGTAGCTTCAGATTATTACACCATAAGGAAATTAATGTGGACATTTAAAATAAGTATGCTGTCTACATTTACATTTCAGGGCAATTAAAACAATAAAGCATTCAATGAATTATCAACAATAACTTCAAATACACAAATATTATCTTCAACATTAGCATGTTAGCATCGGCCTATCTCATTCAGTGCGCGGCCTACAGTTTACCCTTCACATACAGTCATTTAAAATGTAATTTCTCTAACTGGAAAGTGTCCAAAAACAGATAACAATTCACGGACGTGACATGACAAAAGTTGCTCATCACAAACCTGAGAGAAAAACGAGTCTGGACAACATGTTTGAAGAGTGAAGTGCCAATTTGTACTTCACCGGGTTTCGGCCTCTCCGTGCCCTTCTGCAAAGCCACAAGGATGACAGAGACTCGGGAAACAACGCGAGACTACGGAGACAGCCTTGTTTATTTTTTCTAAAGGCACCAAACTCAGAAACCACCAGATGGCGGTATTCGCAAAGACACACTTTCAAGACTTTTTTTTGTTTTTTGTTTTTTTGAGAGAAGAAATTTTTTCAAATTTGCTTCAAAGTTCCGATGCAAAAATAAAGAGATCTACTCAGTATTAAACCATAGCGGTGGGAGCAAGGTCTGTGAACGTCAGACAAAATAGGCACCATTGACACGAAGTTTTAAAACAAAACATTATTCTAGAAGAATAAATACACAAGAAACACGAAGTCAGGTAAGACTTGTTTAACGCCAAAAACTAGCACATATAAATTATGGACGCATTTATGTGTATTATGATGAAACCCTATAACAAACGTTTTATTTTCAGTGTAAAAAAAAAAAAAACAAGCTTATCATAATCTCACGATTTGCAGATAATTATTAATAATTAGTTACTTATGTTTTAATAAGTTGCATTTATTTTTGTTATCTGTCAGGAGCATCCACATTAATTTCAGAAGAAAAAAACATGTTGAACATTTTCAGTCACTGATTTCTATCTGTAACTCTAGGCCTGGATCTGTTAATTTACGGCAGTTTTATGCATTTATTCACTTCAGTGTAAATTTAATTGACATAAACAAGTCACAATCAAAAATCAGTACTGCAAAATTAACATTGCTCAATAAAACACAAGAAATATACACTCCAGTCATACAACTTTAATTCTGTTTTTTTTAACAAATCAAGAGTTTGGTTGACAAATCTAACTTTGTTATAATTTTTTGACTTACACAGGGTCAAAATATAAAAAAAAACAGACACTGTTTACATGCAACAAAAGCAGGACAAAGTGCCGCATATGATACAAAAAAAACTGGAGGTAATAGGTAAGAGGTATAACAAAAAAAAAATTAAACTTTAAAGGAAATAATAAGCCAGACAAACATGGATAAAAATGGCAAAATGTGCAGTGACATTAGTTTGAATGACTGAAAAGTAAACAAAATTGTGTTCATGATGATTCTGGAGCTGGAGATAAAAAGTCGGAAATCCCTGTGGGAGTCTTCGATCTAACACCACATACAATAAAAAGGAATCAAAATAATGGATAAAAATATATAAATAAAACTAAGCTGTACCGGTATTAGTACCTGCATGTAAGTTGAATTGTTTTGGGGTTTTTTGTTATGCTATTATGTCATATTAATATTTTAGATTTATATCATGATGTTTTATGTCTTAGCATACTATATCTTAAAGTAGTATCCATGTATTACTACATTTTATATTATATACAATGCTACATAATACAGACATCTGTAGAGGAAAATCTGTGTATGAAACTTTGTCCTAAAGTTAACGTTAAAGTTGTGAATGTCAGATTGTCAGCCTGTAGTTGCCACAAATGGGGCAATAAGTTGACTATGTCATCACCAGTTCTCACCACACTTGACTAAAGCTTCAGCAATAAAAAAAAAACATGTCTGCTCACACAGCACTGCTCTCTGTCCAAATGGTGTGTTTTATCCCAGTTGGCTGGCCTGCATTGGAGCGAGTGGGGGGGTAGGGGGGGGGGTCTGGCCTGTCTGGGTCTGTCTGTAATCTTGGGGCCCACCCGTGTGTGGCATCAGCGTGGTGCGAGTGGCTGCTGAGATAGAGGAACATATGACGCTGTGGTTCTCTTCACTTCCTGTAAAATTATGCTCAACAGAAACAGCTACATGTGAAACGCAGACAAAAACCCGGGCGCTGTCGGAGAGGAGAGGGAGAAAATGGACGACTTCTTGGCCTCGCTAGAAGAAGTTTCTTCAATGAATGGCCTGGCCTAAAAGGTGAGCCTCATCTTCACGCTTTTATGTTCATTCGGTGTTTTTTTTTCTTCTTCTTCTTCTTCTTCTTTAAATTATCTTGCACCTGCACGGCTGTAATCAACTCTTGGCAGGGCCTGCAGGAGTCTCTTGTTGACAACTGTGGAAATAGATTTTAAAGAAGCTTTCTGAGTAGCATTTTTTTTAGAGAGAGAGATGCCTCTAAACTCGGCTCGTCATGCATGCTTCACAGAGAAAATGGGTCTAAGTTATTTAGGGTGTATGATGGCTTTCACTTTAAACGATCCCAGCAACAAAAAAGCGTATAAATCTTCAGATTATAAAGCTTAGAATTTATAACTTTGACTTCACTGCTCTCCACCTGCTAAAGGTTTATTTTCTGTATGCCCTGTATCATGATGTAATTCCCCTGTAGCATCGGGGCGGCGTGAGAGTCCGAGGAGCTGCCATGGAACACCTGGACTTTGGGGTAACACGACACTTCCAAGAGAGAGAGTTTGACAGGAAAGTTGATTATCGAGCGGAGAGACGCGAGTATTTGCGAGGACGCAACAACGTGACTTTGTGCCGAAGTCCCACCAGAGAGCTCGACACGAGACAGATCAAGACGCAGCTAAAGCAGAAGAGGCAGTGGGAGTTCTTGAACCGGAGATCGCTGAGTCCGGAGCCACAGAGCTCAAAGTGCATCATCTGTTCCACAGACCTGTACTCGCTTTCAGAGTCACATCTGTACAGACTCTATAGATCAAGGAGCAAATCTGAGAAACCGCTCACAAAAACGCAAAGGTTTTCCTCTGCAGATGGGCATCAAGAGATGATTCTAACGCCAGAGAGGGGAAGTGATTGTCTAAGCAACAACAAATGGGTAAATGTTTCTTCTTCAGGTTGTTTTAGACTCTTGTGCTCTTTCAGGCTAAATGTGCATATTTATGCTCTTCTCTCATCCATTCTTTTCCCTCAGGCTTTGCTGTGGTCAGAATCAACACCAGCAACGAAAGAGGAGAAAGGTCAGGCAAGGAAACAGACGTCTACCTCCGCCACAGAAACCAGCCAACACAGGAGAAAAAGTAAAACAAACAGGAGCATTTTTTCCTTCAGTTTTCCAGCAGGCTGCGTCTGATCTGTTCCACCAAATAATATCTGGTTTTCCTCTTTCTTACAGCTCAGAACACAAGCACCAACACAGTGAATAAGACCGCAACGATTCACCAGAAATCATCTGCACAAACTGAAAAAAAGATACGAAAAGAGATCAGTGTGCAAACAGAGTGAGCTCGATTCGCATTTTCCATGAAATATAATCTTTTAATAACATATTATACGCAGGAGCATTCTGGGTCTTCAGTAATGAGATGTTTACCTTCGCAGGTCCGGGTTCATCACGGTCAAAGAATCAGTAAGTTTCAAAACGCGACTGTTTACATGTTTGGTGAACGTTTGGTCATGTTTTTCTTACGTTTGTGTGAATTTGATGATGTTTGGGCATATTTAGCTGTTTGGACAAATGTAGTTTTATTTGTCAGGTACTTCCGTGTTTTTTTTGTTGTTTTTTTTGTATGTAAACATGATTGGTGCACGTTTGATTACATCTGTCGTGTTAGATTATGTTCTGTCACCCTCAGTGAATAGTTGGAGCCTGTTTAGCACATGATTTGAAAATTTGGGACGATTTGGGGGTTAAAGGCCGACTTTACCTAGAATCTCCTCTCAGGTGTGAAGTAAAGTTTGTTTTTTCATTAAGTAGTTTGAATTGTTTTAAATATGTCTCCTCTCTGTCACAACAGGAAGTTCAGAGATTATCAGACTACTTGCAGGTAAACAAAACCACATCCTCAGCCGTTTATTTTTGCTTTCTTCATTTAAAGCAGATCTATGTAGACCAACAGGTTATTTGAATGTGCTCAGTGTGCATTTCTGTTTGCGCTCTAATCAGGAAGCCCTGTGGAGAGAGGAGACGGTGAAGAAGAAGCTGGCAGTCCTTACGGAGATTTCCACAAACCTCGTCAACTCATCAGACGTGCTGTGGACAGTAAGATGCTTTTTTCTGTTTCTGGGACCTCAGATCGGGTTATTCCTTCTCACACGGCCGTTTTGTTTTCGGTCCTTTTTGTCTTTCACGCTGAAATGTGTCAGTCTCGTACCGAGCAGCAGCAGCAGCAGCAGCAGCAGCAGCGTTTGGCGGCTGCGGAAGGCCTGTGCAGCTTGTGGTTTCAAACTTCCTGCTTCCGTTTTTCATCTATAGGACGAGCGCGAGTTGTCACTGTTACACAGGAAGGGTGTAGCTCTCTTTTACCGTTATAGGTGCAATGCAGGAGGATCCTGAGCTTTCTTCTGGCTCCTCTGGTTGCTCTGCATGAGAGGGAAATACTAAACCGTCTTCTTAAAAATTAGTTGAACAAGTTAAGTGAGCTAAGTTAAAAGGTATTGACATTTTAAACTAGACTCTAGCAAAGGTATGTTATCATTTTTGTGTCTTTCAGTGCAAGGGCACACATATTTCGCTATGTGTGTGTGTGTGTGTGTGTGTGTGTGTGTGTGTGTGTGTGTGTGTGTGCACCTGTTAGATGAGCCCATGAATCAACTTGCTTGCTGTCACAGCTGTTGCTACACGAACCATTAATTTTACATCTGCAGGTTTAAAGCGTGACAGTCTCTCGTTTCCTCTCTAACCCACACAGTCTCGCTGCAGTGAGGATCTGCTGAGAAGCAAGATCAAGGTTTTGGAGGCGCAGCTGCAAGTCTGCCTGCAGGTAAGCAGCAGCAGCAGCAGATGGAAACTGAAGCAGAAACCAAACAGGCTTTTTTTTTTTTTTAAATCAAAAACAAAAAAAAAAAGCCAGAGCTGGTTGTCTTTTCATGTTTTCTGTGAAAAATTTCATTTTCTTGTTCTACACCGCTCAGATTTTCTTTTTTTTTTTCTTTTTCCATATTTTATGAGGTGTGACAATCTAGTGTTGTGTCCTTGCAGAAGTTTCCTAAAGATGGAGTGAAGAAGCTGATGCTGCAGATGGAGAAGCAGAGGGGAACGTATGAGGAGAAGGCCTTGGTTGCTCTGCAGAAAGCCACGCAGGAGAAAGCTGATGCTCTCTGCCAGGCTGAGACGCTGCAGGTGAAATTCACATCAAAATTTACTTCCCCCCGCCCCAACTTTCACATTTCGCTGGACTTATTGCTCCATCAGCTCTGGAGCGGATTTGTTCAGGATGTTACGTTTTGTGCACAGGAAGCGCTCGTTACGGCACAAGCAGAGGCACTGAGGTGGCAGAGCCTTTACAAAGAGCTGATGCTGAGCTCTGGACAGCTCAGGGAGAATCATCACCTCAGCAATGACCAGCTGCAGCAGCTGCACACTGAAGTCCAGGTATGGTGCACAAGGAGAGTTAAGAGATTTGAGTGCAAAAAATATATACAAATACAATCCTGGCTGTGTGTGCCGTGCAGCTGTCCAGAGCCAGAGAGGCCGAGCTGAGGGGTGAGGTGACATCACTGAGGCAGGAAAAGCAGGAGCTTCAGTACAACATCTGCCTCCTGGAGGAGGACAACCAGGCTTTAAGAGACGAGATCCAGAACCTTCGAGGTAAAAACGCTTCAGTCGTGTTTGCTCGGAGAAATTGTCCCAGCACTTTCGACAACCCGCAGACGCTTAGAAATCCTTCCTCTCTGTCCCAAAGACGGGGGCGACGAGGGCCAGAGCTTCTTCGTCCAGGAGCGTCTCGAGTCGGGCGACGTGGAACCAAAACTGACCGTCAGGAGGGACTCGCAGGTGGGAGAGGAGCTCCGACTCACTCAGGAGAAACTGCAGCTTAAAGAGAAGGAGGTAACCTTTGGACGAGTTCACACAGTTCATGTGCTGGTGGTTTCCGAAGCAACAGACAAGAAATAATACAGCCAAGCACTTTGCAAAAACAATTCCAGGGGTTTTACAAAAAAAAAAGCTTTGTGTCAATTTTAATTTACATTTATCGACATGGATGAATAATTCTCCGTCCATGGCACAACATCATCAGATCGTTACGGTAAACTAGAACTGGATGAAAGGTCTTGATCCCTCCCAGGTTGATTTGATGGGTCACTGCGCAGAAAAACACACAAGTTTCTTAAACGTAGATGTGGTGAAACTATATTTTATTGGACTCAGCAGCTCAACAATGTTAAGAAATGTTCAATGATGACGAAGGAAAATAAAAAGAAATTTCTTTGGAAATTGGTGTCTGTGCTCAGATATCGAGTTTTTATTGCTTTGATAACTTTGCCTTTTAGCGACCCTTTTATTAAAAACCTTTTATTTACCCCCTTAAAAAAAAGTGAACAATTTCAAGCTGAGGCTCTTCAGCATTTGCACGCAGCTTTCTCATTTTAAGAAATTCATCCCAAGCTACTGTCTTCAGCTTCATCTCTATATAAAATACAAATTCAGTGTAGTTTAAGCAATATGTCAAGATTTTATCAGAAGGTTTTGCATTTTTGCCATTTGGCAAAGAAAGGCAGAAAGAGTTCATACAAAGATTTCATACAAATGGAGCTAAACATCTTGACCTAAACTATAGCTCCATCTTTTGGTGATTTCTTTCTACCAGAATAGCAGTGCAGGTGATTTGTTTATGTTCCAAGGGAAACTAGTTGTTTTGCGGCATATCCAGGAGCATGAATTTTATCATAAAAGAAGAAACAACACAAAAATCACAACAGGATTTCCTGTTCTGCTGCTTGTGGACATTCTGTATTGGAGCCACTCTCTGCCCACACTTTAGAGAAATCAATTTCCATCTGTATAGTGTAAATGTACACCCAGCGCATCTTTAAGCAACAAAAATTTCCCAGGTTCCATTTTGGTAAAACATTTTACTAATAGAGTTAAAGCACATTTAGCAGATCTTCCTTTAGATATAATTCTGAAGTGTAAATGTGGTTCTGGTGGGCTGTGGCTAAATTTAGTCTGCATATGGTGTGTGTGTGTGTGTGTGTGTGTGTGTGTGTGTGCAGTGTGAGGAGCTGCAGACGGAGCTGCACGCCATGGAGCAGGAGTGTCAGTCCAGCCAGGCTCGACTGTCGCAGTGCAGAGACGAGCTCCGGCAGCTCAGCCACCGCCGCAGGAGACCGGTCAGTCCATCGTGTGTGTATATGTGTGTGTGTTTCTTCACAAAGCTCTTTGCATTTTTTTTTCTCACAGGAGAAGCAGGAAGTCATTGTTCCCTCAGAGCAGAAACTGATTTTAATGTTTTTATGTGATGCTTTCCCCCTCTCTCTGTTCAGATGCTGTGCAGCTCTTGGTGGAGGATTTGTCTCTTCTTCCTCCTGCTCCTCGCTGTGGCAGGGGTTGCCATGTTGTGGTCATGGCATCCCCCTTTCAGGGAGCAAGTAGAGGTCCTGTGCGCAGACATAGAGACAAGAATAGAAGACTATCTCATGGAAATGGCCTCTCCTCAAAACTCCGGCTGTTTTAGGCCAATATGACAATGTGGAGTTTTAAAGTTGTTGTCGTTTTCTACCGTTGTAGATTTCGTTTTTAGTTTTAAAACTTTTAGTATGAATGCTTGTGGTTCGTGTGTTAGTTTTCAGACTTGGAACTCGGAGTTTGTTGCGATGTGTTGGAAATGCGGCGGGTGTACTGTACGTTTGTGCAGAACGATAAAATGATTTTAAGTTGTTTACAGCTCACAACAAGGCATTTTCAGAAACTGTGAGTCTAAACGTCAGGTTTGTGCAAGAACAGCGATCATCTTTTGTACTGTAAAGGGACTGCGTAGCCAGAATTACAGCCTTAATTAAAAATAAATTCATTCATTTAAATATTTTTGTCATTAACAACGTGAAGAAAGGCTTTCCCCGTTGCTTTCCTTTTTCTCAAACCTAAAAACCTCCTGGATCTATTAAAGTAAAACTAAAACAATCAAATCAGTTGTTGTTGGTTTGTTTTTGGTTTTTGTGGTTATTCATTTGAATATTTGTTTGAAAGGGCATTAAAAGGAAAGAGGAACCACACAGCTGTAGAAGGTCTGCAGCAGATGAAGCAGAAATACATCATCACTTCTGCACGTCACCTTCAGGATATACAGCTTAAAACGAGGGAAAAAATGGGTTTAAAGTGATCTTTTAATTTCCTGACATGTTTCTTCTGACTGTCAGTAATGTTAGCATTTTGTAGCAGACCAGCCAGAGGCCTGACTTGAGAATTAGGGTGATGGCCAGGAGGCTTTCCGACCTCAAAACCCTGGAGCTCATCACCGTAAATCATCAAATACCAGTGAAAACATGAAGGCATGGCTGCTGTAATAAATATTTTTACTGAAGATTTTTTTTTTTAAATTTAGCAATCAGGAGAAAATAAATAATTATCTATATGTTTTAATAAAATGTAGATACAAGTTTTGTTTCTTTTATTGATGCTTTTTTTCCATATTTCCTTTCGGAAACAGACTTATTGGTTGAATCTCTTATTAAATCTAAATCTGCCAGGGTTGGGTTTGGATCATTTCAAGATTATTTTGAACTGTTTGCTCTTCCTGGAATAAAACAAAACTCTCCCTTCAATTGTAAGCCTGTAATTTTTGCTGAGTAATGTTTCAGTCACAGGGTTTCATCAGGTAAACTCACTCTAATGATTAAAATCTCTGATTGCTGCTGCTGGAGTTGAGGAAGTGGTTCTGAGTATCTGACCAATCACATCCAGACGCCGGAAGGAAAAAATGTACAAGAAACGATCAGTCGTTCAGGGAAATCAAAACTTCTTGTAAAGGTGAAATAAACTGCCTCACTGCAGATTGTTTCGATCTGAATTTGTCTTAAGAGGAGAAATATTAACATTTTACATTATTAAATTCAATATATGCAGCACCTTGCAAATGTTTTCCTTCCCCATGGAGTGTTCTTTTGTTTTGTCCCGTTGCAAACGCAAACTTCCACGTACTTTATTGAGATTTTATGTGAAATTTAATTGTGGAGTTGAGCAAAAAGGATGCGAGATTTTCAAAGTTTCTAATAAATTAAAATGTAAAAAGTCTGACATATTCAGCAGCTTTTATTCTGACGCCCCTAAATAAACTGGATTTCAACCAAATTTCAGCAGTGACCAACGTAGACAATAGGGTCCATCTGTGTGTTTAAAAATGTTTCTTACTGAAATGCCCAGAGAACAAAAATCTTGAAAACCAAGAAACACAGAGAGAAAGTTTTCTGCTTTAAACAAGCAGTGAGTCGACAACTTTGAGCGTCTCATCGAGCTTCTTCCGGTCTATCGTCGGAGAACAAGACATGGCCGCCCATCTAAAGTAACATGACAGCCAAGGAGGAAGAAGCCAAGAGGAACACCGTAACTCTGGAGGAGCTGCAGACATCCGCTGCTCATGAGAGAAAATCTCTTAGACAAATATTAGCCACAACGGAGAAGAACAACATTATTGAAAGCTTTTAGAAATCCCGTTTGCAGTTTACAAGAACAGCAAACAAACCCTCACACAAAAACGACAAAGATTGCAAAGAACATGAGATTTAAATGAAAACCAGTTTGTTTGTTTGTTTTGTTTTTTTGACATATTAGTTGATAGGGAAGACATGTCAGGTTGGTGGGATGGTCTAATTAGATAGATGCAAACATTTATCCAGCAAGAGTAGTTTGAGTTTGATTTGTGGAGTTGTTCATATCGCTACAGTCACACTTTATTTTCTAAAATGTAACTTCTCTTCAACTCGGTGCCCTCCTGTCATCTAACAACAGAAAAACAATATTTATGGCAACACCTTTTTGGTGATAACGATGTTCTGAATGTAAATACGGCAAGACCTTTTGAACATTATTAAATCACAGGAAAAGACCAAAAGAAAACCACAACACCACAGTGATACCACTGCCGTTACAACGTCCAAACGCTCCATTCAGGAAGATGCTGTTGTGTCAGTGAGAAAAGAGAGACGGTGAACTGGTTTTTACTGGAACTGGCACACAGAGCAGATGAACAAAACCACACACACTTCTCTCTTTACATGACACCGATTTTGGTTTATGTTTCCGCTTTCTAAGGCTTGAAATAGGTAAGTGGGCGAATATTTCTGAGTGCTTCTAAATAATTGCTTAAATTGGGTTATCATCCTTCAGTTTGCTCACTAAAAACAAGAAATAAATTCAGTTTATTTATTTAACAGAACCATCTTCACTTATTATTCTTCACTGTTGTGTCTGTAGATTTTTTTTAATTACTCTTCTGGTTTATTTGGGATTTTTGTTTACTTCCCTCTGTTTAGGCAGCAGTAAAATCATCTTAAAACATGAAATGTATCTTCATTACCAGCTGTGGTTGCATTATGCTGCAGCTCTTTCCATGTCATCGTTCCTGAAGCTAAGAGGTATAGCCTCCAGCATCATCTGTTGTCTGATAACACTCAAACTTTAAACACAAAGCTCCTCTCCCATTGTTTATTGTGTTCTGGTTGTTTTAACTGTTCCAGACGAAGCTCCATTCTCAAAATCCACTGACGCAGCGCATCCACAGCGCACAGCCCCTCCCCATCTCTCACCACCAAATTCACCTGCCTGTTGTCCAAACGCACCAGTGAGGAGATGGGCCCTTGAAGTCAGTCTGCTGGTGATCCTCCTCTCTGACGGTAAGCAGAGTCGCCGTGAAGCTCTGCAGCTTCGTTAACTCACAGAACGACTCACGTCTGAACGATGAGGACCGCCGGGCCGCTGCTGCTGCTTGTCGTCGGGTTGTGCGCGTTCAGCGTCGCGTCTTCTCTGAAAATCTGCGCCTTCAATGTTCAGAGTTTTGGTGAATCCAAGGCAAACAACAAGAGGGTGATGGGAGTTCTACTGAAGGTACTCTGCTGGGAGTTTGAAACAAACTACATGAGGAAAACCTGGTGTCTGACAGATCTACCTGTGTTCTTTCTGTCCTCAAGATCCTCTCTCGGTGCGACTTGAGCCTCATTCAGGAGGTCCGGGACGCTAAAGGGGAAGCAATACAAGCTCTGGTCAAGGATCTTAACAGGTACAAACTGGAAGATTAGATGTCTGAAGTGAGAAAGTCGGTATATTTATCATATCTTGATGTTGCCGTCATCAGATTCGACAAATCCAACTCCTATTCGTATGTGGAAAGTGAACGGCTGGGCAGGAAGAGCTACAAAGAGCAATACGTCTACATTTACAAGTAATTCGGCTAATTAGAAGTGAACCGGATCTGATTCTTAGGATTGGCTTTGGACCAGAAATGATCTCTCTTCTGTGATCATCTGCAGGAATAATATGCTAAAGGTCAAGGAGCGCTTCCAGCATCCTAAACTGGAGGGAGAGGGAACCAATGAGACGGACGTTTTCTCCAGAGAGCCTTTTGTCATCCGCGTTCACTCTCCCACCACGTGTAAGAAACACAGCAAAATAAGAGCCGATTAAAAAAAAAAAAAAAAACTGTCAAGAAAACGTTTTTTGCCCCCTCACGGGTTTCTTCTGTTTTTGCTTTTTTGTCAAATTTAAAACACGTTCAGCATGTCAATGGGAACGACTGGTTTCATTGTAAAGCATCTTCTGAGAGTCCAGAAAAGCTCCATAAAAGTCTGATGTCGGCATTTCAGATCATTAAAATGTGTTATTGTCAGAGAAGGATAACCTGGGTTAACACAAAAGGAGTTTTCACATGTTGATTTCATTCATTAAAGGACAAAAAGCTTCCCAGGACAACCTGGCTTTATGTAAAACAGCTGGAAATGACCACATCTGATGCAAAAGTAATGCTATAGGTCACAGCAAGATTTACCTTATTACTATTGCAATATTTACTAATATTAATCACCAAGGCTTCATACTGAAAATGTCCTATATCTGAGCTTGAACAACCTGTCCAGTTCTCTCAGTTGGATTTACTAAACGTTGACCAAATCACTCCAACACCTTCATTTTGATTTTGTTTGTTTTGGAGCCAATCAGAGGTGAACCTGCTGGTGTGATTAGGAGCAAAACCTGCTGCAAAACCCAAATCAGCTTAACTCTAATCATTATTAAACAGTGCCTTGTGTTTGCTCAGGTTATCTTTGATATTAAGGTTTGTCTGATGAAATGAAGCCTAGTAATATGACATAAAGCAGCTGTACAAATATATCTGATGTATCCACTACCCGGTTTATCGCAGAGTTTACATAAATTCTGACTTTTTCCGAACCAGAACAGGACAAAAACAATTTGTTCAAGCCATGCAAACATCTTCTGGAATGATAAAAACAGTTTTCAGAAGGATGGACTCCTGCTAAGCACAGATGTTTCCTCGTAATCATCAGAGATGACTTGAGTTAGTCATCTAAAATGATGTTCGGATGAAAAGGCACATTCATTTAAGCAACATTCAAAATGAAACGACTTGTAGCTTCAAATATGTGGGGCCTTCTGAACATAAACATGCTCAGATCTTCTGATCTACTTCAGCAGATCTGAAGTAAATCATTTGCTAAATGCGTTTCTTTTCTAGTGGTGAAGGATTTTGTCCTTGTTGGGCAACACACATGTCCAAAGACAGCCATGCAGGAGATCGATGAGCTGTACAGTGTTGTCAAACAGATTCACAAGAAGTGGAAAACCGAGGTAGGTGAAACCTCGCCGTTATCATCAGCATCGGTCTTATCTCACTCGGTTCTGTTTTTAGCCAAAACGCCTTGATCCAAGCTGGTTTCCCTTCTCTATGCGTACACTTCATGAGTAATGCCTCGCTTCCTTTTTTCCAGAATGTGATCATCCTGGGGGACCTGAACGCAGGCTGCAGCTACGTCACCGCTAAAGGGTGGAAGGCTGTGCGCCTCAGGAACGACCCCGGATTTCACTGGCTAATTGGAGACCAGCAGGACACGACGGTCAGAGAGAAGACTCGGTGCGCCTACGACAGGTCAGGCCGAGTCACACACATCTTTAAGTGGTTCTGTCACTAGAGATGGCTGCACCACTGCGGGCATGCGTGAAGAATCTCATCATTTCAGTTTCATCAGTAATCAGTCTGAAGAGTGGCTTCCTCTTCAGCGGTGATCTCGAATTGCACACTTCGCAACTATAAAAAGATAAAACCAAACTATGACATCAAAGATTTGACCTTTCCAAAAGGTCAATCTCTCTCTTTCTCAGCTTAAGGTAGGGGCTATAAATATATCCAATCATAACAGCGGTCTCAGCAGCATTTGCTTGGGTGCAATATGTGGTATTGTATTTTAGGCGACGTGTTTTAATGCTCTAAATTTAAATAACTCTTTCGGTCAGCTTCACTCACGCTGATGCTCAAGTTTAGATTTAATTTAACAAATTAAATTCACAAACGCTGATGGGAAAAGAAAAGAGTAAGGAAAGATGTGGTTTGATCAAAATCAGTATCATCACTTGAGGGACTGATTTGTATGAACCTTTACTAGTTTCTCACATTTATTTTAATAATTAAAAATTTTTATATCTTCTTATTTCTGGCCTTCTAAATATCTGCGTCAAATGTAAGAGCTAAATTTAACTTTTACCTTCTGCATTGTTGCATAGAGAGTGTGGGGTGTTTTATTTTTGTAGGTTTTTTTTCTCACTCAAAAGTAGAATATACAATTGTCCACAAATTGGACATTTTAATTGGTTGTGCATTCTAAATAGATATATCCATGCAAGCAGAAATGTATATCAGCATCACCAATATTCCCTTTTTTTTATGTTCAACTCCCAGAGAACATTTGGAAAAGAGAAAAAGTCAGTCAGCAATTCATTTTACCGGGAAGTGAGAATCAGGGCAGAATACGTGTTCAACCTCGGTCCTCACTCCAGCTGTTGGACCTGGATGTCTGGTGGTTCCTCTCTCTTGAGTCCAGAACCAGGTGGTAACATCAGGAATTGTTCCCACTGACAGTCTAGGCAAAACAAAACAAATTGTGCAAGAACTTTAGAGAACATTAGATGGGAAACAAAACGCTACACTGGATAAAAACATTACCAGTGTAGTCAGACTCAGTGTCACGTGATTAGACACTGATTACAAAAAAAAAAAAAACACATTACGTGACATATTACACAATGAAAGCAAAAAACAAGTGTATGTTTTTATGATTTTTGTGACAAATGGTTTAAAATCACAAACTAATGTATTTCTGGTTTGAAGCAGCTGTGCTAATTCATTTATCATCTGTGGAATAAAACAATAAATTAGTCCCATTAAAGTCATAATGAAGGCCCTCTGAAACAGTCTTGGTCAGAGGGAGAGGTGCGCATGTTTCCATTTTTCTTTTTCTGATGGTCAATGTTGCCCTTTTTTCCCCCCCCACTCAGGATCATTGTTCACGGCCGGGAGATTATTTCTGGCGTAGTTCCTGGTTCAGCTCAAGCGTTTAACTTTAAGGAAAACTTCCATCTTACCGAGCAAGAGGTAAACATGAGAAATACCTGATTTTAGTTCATCTCTGCATGTGGTGTGATAATATTTGTGTCACTTTGTCCCTTCAGGCTCTTGAGGTGAGCGACCATTTTCCTGTCGAAGTTGATCTGAGGCCGACTCACCGCCACCTCCTGAGGAGCGAGCTGTAGGTCGCAGCACGTCGCCTCTAACGACACTTATTTTAACTTGAATTTTCTTGTTTTTAATAATAAATGAATAAAGCAGTCAAGAGAAACAGTTTTGGTGCTTTTCGTCTCGCTCCTCGTCACAGTGGCGCCGGCGAACAGCGTTTCTGCACGAAGCGTTTTCGTCTGCTGGAGTTTGTGTTGTGCTTCTGAAACCAAACCCACATCAAAGCTGACATCATTTCATGAGCTCATGAAGGTGCGCTAGAGCAGCAAGAGACAAACACAAACAGCTCGGGTCTTAAGATTTTGCTTTTCAGAGAAGGCAAAAAAAAATAAATTTTCTTCCGTCTTCATCTTTTATGGTGAGTTTATTTTAGTTGCTTTTCAGCAACATATTTCAGCGGCTGAGTGTGAATTTATGCTCGATCTGTTCGACAGGAAGTCACTTGCAGCCAAAGCAGAGGAGTTACTTTGAGCTGTCTTTGTTTTTTGTTTTTTTTGGGGGGGGGGTTTTTAGAGCCAGTCTGACTGTTACAACAGATTTAAATTAGTGTTCATATGAATCCTGCTTTAACATTGATTTGTGTTTGTTAAGATGGAGGGCTTTGCTGATCTTCTTACTGATGCATTTTCAGGTAAAAAAAAAAAAAAACATCATAACAAAACATTAGCAATATTATTATTTTCATGTTGTAGGATTTCACTGATGTTTTCTTTTCCTGTTTGCAGAGGGTTCAGTTCCCTCGTTCTCCACGGGAGATTTGGACTTTGAGAGTTTATGCTTTGATGAGAAGAGCGAGAAAGAACAGGACGAAAACCCAACGACAGAGAGCGACGAGGCTCGGCTTCAGGAAGCATCTGCAGAAGGTGCAGCTTTGCTGGAGGGCCCCACTGCAGACGCACTGAACTCAGATGAGAACGCTTACAAAGAGCAGAGTGATGAGGAAAATGATGAAGAGGGGCTTAACGGGGTCCGTTTTAGCAGTGAAACCCCAGAGGACGATGAATGCCCAAGCTCCGGCGGAGAAGAAGAACGGAGCGATTTCTGCTCTGCAAGAGATGAAGAGGAGGAGGCTGAAAGCCCAGAGGAAGAAGACGATACGCTGAAGTTGATTTATAAAACAGTGGATGGGATCCTGGAGGATGAAGACTCTGAGATCCTGGAAGATGCTGATGAGCTTCAAGTTCTGCAAGAAGATGCGCACAGTGATGAAGAGGAGGACGCATGTAGAAACGAGAACATTGCAGAAAGCCCCGAGAGCGAGGGGGAACAACAAGTCGAACAGGACTCCTCCGAATCCGACTATGAAGGCGTGAAAACTGAAGAAAAGGAAAATCCCGGCACTGTCGATACAGCAGATTCTGGTTTGGAGTTCTCCTGCATGTCTCTCCAGAATCTGCAGGATCTCATCTCTGAAGTGGATGGTGAGGTTTACGAAGAGAAAATGTCAGACTTCACTGGCGACGAGCACCAGGAGGCAGGTGAGAGCTTTGCAGATTACCCCTCAGACTTTTCCTCTGGTGAATACGGCAGAAATGCTGCACGGAGCGCCTCGCCTCGTCCGAGGGAGGAAGAAGGCCCGGAGAGAGCCGTGACCGAAAGCGTGTGGAGCCACGGGTCTGAGGAGGCGGGTTCTGGGAAGGAGGAAGAGTTCCTGTTCAGCAGAGACATAGAAGTAAATGTTGAGAAGATGATGATGAGCCTGTATGAAGCAGCTGGAGATGAAGCTGAAAGGAAAGCAGAGCATTTGTTGAGAGGGACGAGCTTTGATGATGAAGAGAAAACAAGTGAGAGCGACTCCTACAGCTCCAGTGATGATGAAGAGCCGCCGAGAAGATCCAGTGATGTATTTTCACATAAGTCCAGAACCCGACTCCTTGAAGACGACACAAACCTGGAGGACATTAAATCTCTTGGTGCCAGCGGCTCTGATGACTGCAGCTTTGGGCGCGACAGATGCGATCCAGCTGAGTTCCTCAGCTCAGAGTTAGGTGCATTAGAAACCAAAACCTTTCTGTATGAATTCTTCATGGGCCAAGAGGACACAGATGGGACAGAATCACCTAATTCAGGCAGAAATCAGTGTCCGGATCAAGATGTCAACAGCTACTCTGTGGTGCAGAAGAAAGACCCGATACCAGCAAGTCCGTTCGTCCAGGGATCCATCGACGACAGCTTCTTCTTCGACAGTGAACCCAATGACTTCACCGATGACGGACAGCAGCAGCAGGAGGAGGAGGAGGAGGAGGAGGAAGAAGAAGACGAGTACGAAGAGAGGAGAAACTTTGAACAGATGAAGCAGAGAATCGAAGCTTTCAAAAAATTTTACGACAACAGCGATTACGAGAACGGGCGAGAAGGTCAGTGTCCACAACGCAGAATCAGTCTTTCCTCGTGTGATAAACAGCTGATCGGTTTCCAAATGTCTGTGTTTTTCAGAGAGGCAGATAAAAGTCCAGTTTTGTGCAGACCCCTTATCTCAAGTGAATTATTATGAAACTGACAGGTGGGTAAAATTCAGTCAGTGCTAAAGTGTACTGTAAAGCAAAGCGTGGCAGATGAAACAAAAACGGTTGATGCTTGATTTTTGCTTCTCAGCAGTGACAGAGACTCGGTCAGCAGCTCCTCAGACGGGGAGGAAGACCGGAGCTCTGAAGAACAATCTGATGACAAAGAGGAAGATCTGAATCCTGCAGAACAATCTGAAGACAAGGAGGAAGAACTGAATCCTGCAGAACTATCTGATGACAAGGAAGAGGACCTGAACTCTGGGGATCAATTTGAAGACAAGGAAGAAGACTCGAGCTCTTCAGAACAATCTGATGTAAGAAGATCTTAATTCACTTACACGGCACACCACAGAAGCACAGAGCAAACAACGCCTTGCAAAATCATTCATTGACCTTGAGCTGCTTCATATTACCCTTTACAGCCACAAACTTAGATTTAAGTGGGATTTAATATGAAATGGAATTAAATCTATATTTATTTCAAACATGTAAAATGTCAGAGCAAAAAAAAAATCAAATAAGAAGAAAACAAACAAAAAAGACCCCATAATTATCAAACATAAAAAACAAAACTTTTATATCCAGTTCCCCCAACTGTCTCACTCAAAAATATCCCATGTGCAAATGTACATATCCAATTTCTACTTGATGTCACAATTTCTACTCTTTCAAAATGAAATCTGTTCAATTAATTTACTATTGTGCAGTAATGCTATCTACAGTCTCCTGTAACATAGCCATAGAGATGCATTCATCTTTAGCAGAACAACCCAAAGCAAAACATTTTTCTATCTATTTTTCTATTCTATAAAATCCACTGTATATAAACAAGACATCTCATACATCTAGTCATGTTTAATCTGCAGTGCTGCATTAATCAGCAGTATGCTAGCAGATTCACAATGTGTCCTTAAAATTCTGTCATTCTTTCACTTTTCAGGTTTACTACTCAGCCCCACATATTTACTTTCTGGCTGTAATGTAGCAAGGTCACATTGGGTGATAAATATATAACTGGATTGATTTGTCTGTACCTAGGAACCACAGGAGCCTGAAGAAGACCAGGACATAAAATCTGTGTTTGATCCCCCAATCATTCAGCAGCATCAGAGCCCTGCAGACGTCGTTGACACACAAACCTGCACAGCAACACCCAGGGTGTGTTTTTACTCAAGGTCTTTACCCAAAGTGTTTCCTTTTTAGATTATTTTCTAAGTGACTGTCCTCTGCTCTCCCAGTCTTTCAGCACACTGAAGATGATCGTGACGCTGGGAGTGCTGACGGCGACGGGGCTGATGATGTTCAGCCTGACCACAGACCAGCCCGACTGGCTCACACAGTTTCTCTTCTTTTAGAGCTGCAGCTCATTTTGGTTATAAAGGATGAAGAAAAAAAAGCTCTGTACACATATGCATTTCTACCTTTAATACTATTTTTTTGTTTACAATGGAGATCTTTACTTTGAAAATATATAAATGTAAAATACAACTTAAAAAAAAAAGTTTTTTAATGAATTTTGTGGTAATGATTTTGTGAATTAAAATGTTGAAATGTTAACCAAATTTATGAATCTCATTTACTGAGCTTAACATTTTAAACCAAATACAAATATGATTCAAAAGCACAAAACAAACCAGGGTTCTGGTTGAGGGGCGGTGTCCTGCAATGTTTTTATACATGCTTGTGCCAACAGACCTCATTTAAAAGACTGAATTACTCTTTGGCATGTCAGGAAGACTGGCAAAAATACACATTTCTCTTGTTAAATAACAATAAAAAGGAAGTTAATCTTACATAACACAAGCATCTCTGTGGTTGCCAGTCACACATTGAGCAAACAGGGGCAAAGAAAAGCTCATTAATCAAACCTCTCTACCTGAAGACAATGTAGCCACACCTATTGCTTCTGGCACTGCACTGCATTCTTGTGTGAGAATAATCTGACTAAACCAAACACTGAATGAAAAGGTTTTCTTTATGTGCAGCATAAAATTGTGAAGGTAGATTTAAAATGTAATAATTACAAAATAAATTTAAAAAATAGGCATAGGTGATAAACTATATTACAAAATAAATAAATAAAAAATAGGCTACATGCCATAGGTGATAAACTATAGCCAAAGTTAGATTGACCGCTTTTACAGAAAAGTAAAAGCCTGTCCTATTGGTACAATCATAATTTTACATATAATACTGTATTTATGGCCTTACAGTATTACCTCTTAAAAATATTCAGTCAAACCGCCTCTCTGGTTTTACCGTATAAAGGGTTAAATACTCATACTTGCCTGCTGGTGGCGCTGCTTCCGTAAGACACTGAAAACAATTCCAACAAAGAAAAAGCCAGGAGAAACGGAAGTTGTGCGCAATTTGTGTGGGAGAGCGTTTGTTTTGTGTCTGAGATCAATTCTGAAAGGGCGGGGTTAGGGCTCTGAACACACACGGCTTCACCGCGGCTCGTCGGCATAGAAATCGAGCTCCCATGTGTAGGAGGAGTCGACTTGGTTTTCTTTTGACGCCAAAAGAAACTAAACTACTCTTAACCGCCAATAAATTCGAAAAAAATAGCCAGTTTTAACCAAAGACAGAAACCGTATAGAATAGATTGAAATGGCTTCGCTGGACAACAAGTCTCCGCAGGAAATCAGCGATCTGCTGGATGAGTACGGGATCAAACATGGACCTGTGGTTGGTGAGTGAATCACCGTCAGTGGACCTCGGCGGGCCCCCTGTCCGTCCGTCCGTCTGTCTGTGTGAAGTTTCTACCTGTGAAGTGTTTGGTGTGATTTGCAGGCTGTTCATCATTCCTAATGTTGGTTTGTGTGTGATGTCTGTTCGTGCTCAGGAACTACCAAGAGTCTGTATGTGAAGAAGCTGAAGGAAGCCATGGCCAAGGGGAAGAAAGCTAAACCATCATCTGATAAAACCTATTATAGAGAGGAAGGTAAACAGTCCTTATAGACTCATTTAGTTTTATACATACGCTGGGCTCATAAGGTTGACGTAGTAAAAGTTTAATTCTCTTATCACAGGTTTTCCTTGGTACTTTTTAGGGCTGGACAATGTATCCAAATGCACACAGGATGCCATCCAATTATCGATCTCTCTCACTAAGTTCAGTTCAATTAAAATGTCTGTATTTACCACGAAAAGGAAATAAAATGTATTGATATTTCATATCAACATGTCCTAAATAACACTTTAGGTTGTTGGCAATAGCTGCTAATCCACCCCATTTGCTTTTGCATCTCCTCTTTAAATCTTTGGCTGGGAATCTGATACATGCCTATTATAATCAATGGAAGAGATGTTTTGAGCTGAGCTGATGGAGTGGCCCATGGTGATGATAGGGTTATGGGTTATGTTATGCACTACGAACACAGGTGCATTTTATTAAGATGGCATTTTGAACAAACAGAGATATAATATCAAGATCCAGTTGTCGTACCATGCATCCACAACCTCATGTTGGAGATGGTAATTGATGACCCCATGTTGCAAGGATCTGTGCACGATCCCTGGAAGCTGAAAACGTCCCAGTTCTTTTACAACCAGCAGACTCACCAGACTTGTCACATGCTCTGGATCGGCGTATGCAACATTATGTTCCAGGTCCTGCAAATATCCAAGAACTTTACATTGAAGAGGAGGGCACCAACATTCCACAGGCCACAATCATCAACCCGATTGATGACTGATTGGTTTATTGACCAGAGTCAAATTTAAGTCACGCCAGATACTGAATGGCTTTCGAAAGCCCCAGTGCAATAAAACTGCAGGTTGGAGTGGCCTTTTATTGTGGCCAGCCTAAGGCACTCCCGTGTAGTAATCACACCGTCTAATCCTCGTCTTTATATGCGAGTGTGACAGATTATGTCAGCAAGGGAAGAAGTGCTCACTAATCTAGATTAAGACAAATTGGTGAACCGTATTTGAGGGAACGAGGCCTTTTGTGTACGTGGAAGAAGTCTTTGGGCTCGTGCACAATGGGTGCAAAAACAAAAGTGTTGTGTTTATGTCTACCTACCAATAGGTGTAAAAACTGCAGCATATATTAAGCATCACCAAATGATTTTCCATTAGAAAATTCAAGACAGCAAAGTGTCTGATACTTCTGGACCGTATATTTGTGAGAAAACCTTCTATTCAATGTGATATTTGTGTTTTCTTACAGAGGAGGAAGTCACTTATGTTTACAGGACACCAGTAAGTATCTCTCCTCGCCCTCTGCTCAGGTGTTTGTGGAACTTACAAGGTGCAAATTGCACCTTGTAAGTAAGCATACTCTGGATGTACACTTTTTTTCACTCTCTACAGTCGAAACTAACATTCGTTTCAAATAAAAGTCGGCGATGCGATTATTTTTGAAAATTTGAGCCAAGCACCCTGAACAACAGCTCTGCATGTAGCTTAACGGTGGAAGCTGCTCATAGCGTAGATTTGCTGCCTTCACACCCACATTTGGGTATAACTTCAGTGCTTACAGTTTGTTTCCATCTTCTTTCAGAGCAGAAGTGAGACCTCTGGAGACGGGTCAGTTTCTCTGTTTTATTTCTTGAACTGTATTTACGTCACTAAATCGGGATAGCGATCACAAACCAGTCTGTCTTGTTGCTACAGGGGGTCTTACATGAGATCCAGACGAGAATGGGCTGAGGGGGAATATGGACATGAGTAAGTCAGAATCAGCGGTTCCTGAAATTTGATTTTTTTTTTTTTCATTTTTTTTTTTTTTTTTCAAAAGCCGTTTAAATCTTCTACTTTTATATGACTTTCTGCAGCACTTCCTACTCGAGCTACTCAAGTTCAAGGCCTGAATACAAAGGAAGGGATTTGGTTGATGAGTAAGTACATCTGTGAAATATCCTACTCTGACCTCAGCTGCTGTAACGTAGCCATTTTTTTCTTCTGCAAACCTCAGCTGCACTCTTTCAACACCTTATCAGTTATTCTGAAATTTAAAAAAAAAATGTCCAGTCATTTTATACTCTGTGCCATTTGGATGCACTTCTTTTAAGCAAGTTTTATTTTATTTTTTAAATGTTGCAGATAAATCAGCTTCATTTCAGGGTCTTTATCTCCTGGACTAAAAGCTGATTTTCTTTTTTTTTTTTTTTTTTCAAACATTGTTTGTGAAATTTGTCTTTATACTTTTGGTAAAAACTCCCAAAAATGACAATTTGTTTTCAACCAAAATTTCCAAAGTAGTAGTAATTTGGCATTTTATTTTTTTAATCTAGTCAGTATGTGGGGAAAAAAACAAAATTTAAAATGAAAAAAATTAAATAAACATCAATGTTATATTGACTAAATTAAAACTACAGCATTTATTAAACATTAACAGACTATTTTAATTATGAAAATGAAAGGCAATGGATCACAATACTTATCTAGACCTGAAAATTGATTGGAGTGAATTTCATAAATTTTCAAAATTGCATAGAAACCCCAGATGGCAGCAACTCTGCAAAGTCTCGCTCGCCTACAAGCTGAATGATCTGCTGACATGTTTCTGGAAATTGTGGAAACAAATTTTCTTACATTTATACAAAAAAGAAAAAATATGCAAGTGCAAACCATTTATAAATTGTATTCATTGCCAAAGTTTGTGTTTTTGTGACTCTCAACTCCAACCCAGATTTCACATTTATGAATTGCCGGTAACACTTTATTTGAAGGGAGTTGAATAAGACTGACATAACACCTGTCATAAACATGACATAACACCTGTCATAAACATGACATAACACCTGTCATGAACATGAATAAGCCTTCATGAATATTTATGACTGTTGTCATAAAGCATCTTTCGGTAAATTATGACACTTTTAATACAAAGTTGACATTATTCAAAATGTCTTTGTTATGACAACTTGACATTAACTAAGAAATCATTACTGATATAAATTTGTTATAAAAGTATTACTGATTGCACTTCAAAAATTAGGTAACTTTATGTTATTAAAGGTAAAGTTTAAACAGTAATGATTTCCTGGTTAATGTCAAGTTGTCATAACGAAGACATTTTGAATAATGTCAACTTTGTATTAAAAGTGTCATAATTTACCGAATGACGCTTTATGACAACAGTCATAAATATTCATGAAGGCTTATTCATGTTCATGACATGTTATGTCATGTTTATGACGGTGACATGACAGTCTTATTCAACCCCCTTCAAATAAAGTGTTACCGAATTGCCTAACTTAATTGAATTGATCAGTGAGGAACATCAGTGCACAGAAGCTAAATTGTAATCTGAATTAGTCTAACCAGCTTTTGATCAGGTACATTCACGGTAGCTCTGGAGATTTAATTCAACGCATGACAGATCCTCAGCCGCACCCTGACTTATTGTTTCAGGCCCTACATGTACGACACTCCGTCCACCTACAGCAGCAACTCGTACGCCAAACCCATGAAGTCGGAACCAGAGAAACCAAAGGCACAGAAGTCGTCCCGCCGGATCCCCCTGTGGCTCCAGTTCGTCTTCTTCCTGCTTCTGGCAGCCTTCCTCTACTTGGTCTTCTCCAACATGGAGGCAAACGAGGCCATGAAAGGAATAGTGTGATTTTATTCAAATTGATTTGATGTCGAGGGATGAGATACTTTATTTTACATCTACAGTTGATTGATGTCTTTTGGGGATTTTAGACTTTGCTGCCTTTGTGGTTGATGCAATATTTGTGCTTTTTTTTTTCTTTGTTTTTTTCTTATGCTGAAATTTGTTTGCACCTACCTGCTGTGGCTGTGGCTAGCAAAAAAGAAAAGAGTTTGCACCTTCTGGTCCTCCCTTATACTTCTAAAACAACTTAAATCTAAACTGAAGAGTAGAAAACTGCATGTAAACCACAAGCGGCACCGTTTTATTATTATTAAGCGAAAACTGACACCAAAGTGGGGGGGAAAAAATGTGAGCTAGACCCCCGTTAAACTTTGGATTTAAAAGGAATGTCTTGTTTTTTTTGCATGACTGTACAGGTAAGGGTAAAATACATTCTTGTTCACCAAGTTTCACTACAACACCTCTTTGAGTCAAACTGCAGAACAAACACAATTTTGTCGAATACAGGTGGCGGCTCTCTGCTGATCCTATAATTGCTGGGTTGTATGATCCTTCAAAGCTCCTGTTGATCATTTTGGTCTAAAGGTAGAGCATAGTAAATAAATATTTTTACCAATCTTATGGATTTAGGGAAAGTAGGGTAAATATTGGGTTTTTAAAGTGTAGTTATGCGATCTAAATTGTCATTTCAGCTCTCGCTTTTTAAAATAAAAATATCGGTTTTGTAATAAAAGTCAGAAACTTACACCTGAAGTTCCCGGTTTAATGTGTGCATATTTAAACGCTGCAGAGCAAATATTACTGACAATGACGCACGTTTGTTTATTGTACATAATTTTGATTTAACTCATTTTTCAGCGTGGCTGAATTGAATAATGTTTGTCAAACAAGTACTGATGCTTCCATTTTGCTCACAGCCATTTATGCATATTTTGGACAGACTTAAATTCAAGTGCCTGTGTTTTACAATCAATTCTGATAAAACTGTAAATTGCATCCAATAAGTACATGAAGATTTTTCCAAGGTAAAAATGTAAAATTGCTCAATACAAGCTATAGTGTTACAAGTTTATGCTTTGCTCAAGTGTGCAGCACTTTTGTACCACATCATCCATCTATCCAGAGTTTGTAATTTGTTTTGTAATTGGTTTTCATAATATAATAAAGAGCTTGCATATGTAAGCATTTTAGAGTTTCAAGTCGTTTATTCAGGAACAAAAGTGTCAAGATAAATAACGTATACAAAAACAAATGAACCGCATACTGCAAGGTGGCTAAAAAAAAAAAGCTATGTTGTAGTTTGCTCTAAAGAAAAGTACCATCAGCAACATGTTTAGATTGTCTAACAGTTTGCACACAAAACTTCAGCATTTTAACCAACTACAGCTACTATTTACAAAAACAAGTGCAAAAAAAAACAACTGATGAAGATGCATAGTAGTGTTAGTCTTTAAGTACATTACATCGTATAATCCTTTAAGGATCATTGTTCTGAGGGCAGGTATCTAATCATTAAGCAGTCTGTTATGTTATCTGGAACAAAAAGCTGCTGAACTCTGTATAGAACACAGAAACGTAGTCGCTCATTTCACAGATTCACAGATTTAAGGTTTAGTGTACATCTGAGACAGTGACGCTCTAAGCATACTTTACACCTGGCTTAACCAGGAGCGTAGAAACACACATGCTACTGCTGCTCCAACATGGCTGCCTGCCTGCACGTTACAATAACATGGTGCTGAACATTAATCTTATTCATTGTTTCCCAGTAAGAGTAAAGAAGCCAGTGCAGTCTCAAACTGCGTCCCAATGGAAGTGCTGAATAGAAGTCTCAGCTGTAAACTGGTTCCAGCAGTCACCAGCAGGTGGCGAGCAGCAAGTATCCAGTTGCTGCTGTCTCCCCGGTCTTCTGCAGTTCGGATGAAGACGACTTGAGCCATCTGGATGTCTAAAGGTTAAACCTGATAAAATAAGGACAGAAATTTATAAATTTAATCTAATAAGCAAAAATAAATAAATAAATAAATTACCAAATGTATTTGTTCAACATTCTCACATTTTGTTGGTTATCTGTAAAATTAATTTCTAGAATCACCTTGTACTGAAACTACTGTTGTAGTTATTTTGTTACGCGTCTACTCGTCTTTCACATCTACAGATATTTTGAAAATGATTCTTTACAAATTACTTCATGTTTAAGCTGAATTTAGGTCTGTGTCTTTCCGACGCATGAATAACCTTCGTTCCCCCTCAATTTTATGTGCGGTACGAGACACAATAAGAGCTAAACCAGTTTAACTACATTAAATCAAAGAATATTTCAACAGTTTTTGGTCCAAATTAAGCAGAATCCAAATTAAAATCAAATGAAGGACCATATTATGACAGTTTATAAATATATTTACCTATATTTTCCTCCCTTTAATAGAAATACCAGGAAATTACTACTAGATTCACAGGTAGTCTTTGTAACTCGTGATTATTAGGAACAGGAAATCACCTGTGTTAAGCTGAGCTGTAGTCAAATAATCAGAAACGTGGAGTTCCTGCTCAAACCAGTCACAGGAACAGAACGGCAGCTGATTTAAAATGGACACACGTGTCAAAGGTCGTACTGAAGGACTAGCCGCTACATTCACATCCACCCCAACTCTTGGGATTATCCTGCACAGAGCCGCCTGATAGCTACCATTAGCTAATTGTTTAACTTAAAGCTGCAGCATGTTAAAAGGCTTTGGTTAAAATGAAACAATGAAGCACTTTTCAGTCAGGTAGTGTGGTTAAGATGTTTTAGGTTCAATTTTTCAGGTATAAGGTGTATTTATTTAAATTTATTTTAAAAAATAATGAGGTAGAATCCAGACATTTACAAATTTCCAAGTGGTAAACATTTCTAAAACATGCTAAACTTTGTGCACAAGCACCTGTCATCTGAGGACTCCATCATAGCTTGTGGACTGATAAGGCAACATATGTGTTGTCCACACCTGTGAAGAGAAGAACATCTTTCACTCTAAATCACACGAGGACTTAGAGATATTTTTAGTCTTTTGACGGTGAAGCTGACTCACAGGTTCTGGTCTCCCGCTCTAATTCAGAGGGCTGCTTCTCCTTGTTGCACATTACCTTCGCCACAGTAAAAATAATGATGACGGCTATGACGAATGTCACCCCGGACACCAGCCAGCTGATCACCATGGGGCTCAGTAGCGGGTCAGGATCTGAAAGTGGGCGGAGTCAGTCCCTAAGTTTCACTCAGAAAACTCAAGATTCCCCGTCTTTGCGCCTTACCTTTAATGGCTATAGGTAGCGGCTGGCTCTCTCTGGAGACAAACGTGCGTCCGCCCAGCTGGACCCGATACAGGCAGTAATAGTATCCCTCGTTGGAGCTCTGGGCGTTGGGGAAGGTGAAAGTGACGGACTTGGAGACGGCCGGGAGCGACTGGCGCAACGTGCCGTTGGAGCGGACCAGGCGCAGCTGGAAGGAGGCGCCGGGGTACTGGCGCGGGGTGGAGCAGGTGATGTTAAAACCCTCGCCTTTGATGACGGAGCCGGTCGGGGCCTCAGAGGACGTGTTGTACCAGTGATGGGGAGTTAAAAGGTCAACTGCCAGTAAAATAGGGAAAATGAATTACAGATGAGGTACAAACGTTTTTGAGCATATGAGTAGTTGGCATTACAAATCGGTAAATTGTTTCTCACGCAAACAGTACGTTAAACTGCACAACAAAATACCAAACAATATTCTGTAAAAGTATTCCTCTCAGCTGAGCGAAAGCAAAAGCTAATGGCTTAGCATGCTAAGGCCTGTGCTAAGAAAATGCAAATTGTTTACATTGTTTTTAACATGATAAACACATAGTTGGCAGCGTTGCACAAAACTGAAACCGATGTCGTCCAATCAGATCGTGTCAAAACAACCAACATTGCGCCAGAAGGTTCATTTCTGTGGACAAATATACAAGTTGAACTACTTTTAAATAGCTTAGTTAATAAAACACAAGATGATGTTGCCCTTAAGGAAACATCAGTATTTATATTGACACTAAATTCAACAAAGTCTAATTTCAGAAGCAAAAATAATTGCACTGGATTTTATTCAAGCATGTCAGCATAAATGCATTTCATTACAAATATAAGCTTCTTGTCAGATTTTTACTTTTTAAAGTCTGAAAACGTATATCGTTTCCTTGCATGTTATAAATCTGACTTTGTCCAAGAACATAAAATCCTAAAAATGCAATGACATTTGGAGTTGTAACTTAAACTGGAAAAACTTTCAGGGCAGTGCATCACAGAAAAAAACAAAACAAAAATGAGGATTAAAATATTTTGTATAAAAGCACGACAGAGATTAATACTCACCCACAGTAATATTAACAGGATGACTGGTTGGAGATGTGATCCGGTGGGGAGGGAAACCACCCCGTATGTTGTACTGGCAGCTGTAGCTGCCTTGCTGAAACGATTCTACATCAGACAGAACCAGGCTGACTCCGATCTGGGTCGGGTCTGCGCTCTGTGTGACCAGCGGCGTCTCGACTCCGTGCCTGTACAGGTGGACGTTGCTGACGCGGTCACGTGGTTGAATGTTGCAGTAGAAGTGAACAGACTCTCCAGCAGAAAACACAAAGTGAGGTGACAGCACTGAAAGCCTGGGCTCCATTAGAGTACCTGTGAGGAAAAGCAACAACGTACTTCATTGATTACAAATTAAAACACGATGTTTGTCTACGTGGCGTAAAAAGATGCATGACCATTTGAATCCTCACTGTCTGACATTAAATGAGATTAAACTAAACCTCTCAATATTTCGCAGGCAAGCACATAATTAGGGAATAAAAAATCAGCATCTCAAGACAAAAGCCAAGAAGTCTAATGTTTTTTTTTTTTTTACTCAACACTGATCCTAAAGCCAGGGTTTCCACCACTGTATTGTAAGCCTGGCGGGCCACCAAGCTTTACTTGTGCCCCCACCAGGCTAAGCATTGTTTATTTAATTAAATTTTTTTATGTTTGCATTTTTTAGGAACTTTATAGTTGGTGTTCAAGTATTAGTCTTCCAATAATACATAATTATCAAGTCATATTTTCAAATTCCTGCCAACTTTAAAAAACTTCTCAAAAACACAGATGAATTACTGCTTACCGCCTCAACCACCAGGCTTAGCAAGTTTTCTGGGGGAAACCCTGCTAAAGCTACACAAAAATTAGTTAGAAAGTGGCAAAAAGGTAACAGACTATATTGGGGGTTTTTTCTTTGCCATCCCAAAGCCCTTATCTCATTCTCAAGAAATTTGTTGGCAAAGATCAAAAGTGTGTGTGAGCCGGGCAGCCTACAAACCAGACTCTGTTACACTAGCTCTGTTCAGATATTCCAGGAAACTGTTGTGAGAAGCTTCTGCAACTCTAAAAGACCCAACTTATTTAGTTAAGTCTACCAAGTAACAAAAGTGTGTGCATACTTCTGAATTTGAACAAAGTAAAATAAACTCACCCTCTCTTTTTTCTAATGTCAAGCAAACAGAAATAACTTTGGTATTCCTAACTAACCTAAAACAGGGAAACTTTAGTCTGATTTAAAATTAGATTGTGAGGGAAACAAGGTTACAAGTCCTTTTCACACAGCATGTGTAAACATCTGGTTTCAACTGCAGATGTCCTTAGCATTTTTGAACAGAACGTTGTTACTTTGACCTGTATTTTTTTTTTTTATTCCCAGCCATGTCTTCTAATGTGCTTACA